AGTCAAATTATTAATTAAATAAAAATAGCTAGCGCCTATCTGGTTCTTTAAGGCTCATATATGACTTTATATTTTATATCTCACTAAAAAAATAATATTACTTTTTTAAAAATCAGAAGCTTTTCAATACGTTTCTAATAGTAAACCAATACTTGAACTTTGCTTATCATAAAGTTTTATTAAAATCAAAAGGTTTGAAATGAACCCACCTCATATACAATATACAGTATAAATAAGGTAAATACTTATTTAATATTTAATAATTTATTACTAATAAACCTACATGTAGTGAAAATAATGGAACCAATGTTGGTTATAGAGTATCTCGAAAATTATATTAAATAAGTTCTTGAACACTGTAGTGCACTATAAAATATTTAACTTGAATAAAATGAATACTGTACCGTATATCTGAAAAGTTTAATCTATCAAATAATGATCAGTATAATAATCATATTTATTAGAGTTTAGGAAATCTCTCTTCAATAGTATCATATGAGTAAAGATTGAATTTGAAGCCGAGTTTTAAATATGAGTTTATAGTATACAGAAAATACATGTAGAATAGATACCAGTTATTAATATCAATAAATCAAATGTTTTAATCATAAGATGTGAAAAGTAATTTAAACAAAAAGCAGAATATTGTGAAAATAAATAATTTATTCAATTTGTATATAAACTGTGATCGTCTTTGCTCTTCGATGCCATCCATTCATCAGACCGATGGTGAGGATGTAATACATGACTACACGATAGGCTTCGGGTCACATGACTGCCATTGAAATCGCCCTAATTTTCATATAAATTCTATTATGAATAGAGTATTACTTTGACAACAATAGGACAGACATGTGAGTGCACTGATGAGGCGCGTTGAGACTTATGGACGAGCCATCGATCCCTCAGATATTTGTTCACTTCAGTGACCGGATAGCGTTTCATTGGCTTCAACTCCATCAGTCGTCTCATAAGCCGCAGAAGTCGTGGAGAGAATACTCTGAACTCTTTGGGAGTTCGGGTAGTCTTGCGTTTCTGCCACTCAACAAATTCGGTGAATTTCGGATCAGTTATGTCTGCCTTATCCCATGGAAAGCGAGTGGTGAGACACACGTAGACCATCATTGCCAACTGCCACACATCGCTCCCGATCTGTATGTTATAGCCCTCTAACAGCACCGCTTCCCACACTTCCGGCGGACACGACGGCAATGACTTGACCCTCTTCTTCACTAATCGTATCAATCATTTGAACAATAAGTGAATAATTGTCAACATTTAGCACTCATGTCTTCATGCCTTACCTAAAGTGCCTACTTTTCGTGTTAAACCAAAATCAGTTAATTTGACTTTTGTTAGATTTGGAGAGTATATTAAGATATTTTCAGCACTAGTTATATAAGAAATGAAAATTGATGT